TTATATAGCATTTGTGCAGCTGCAATCGCATTGCTTTCGAGTGGAGTTTCCATACTATAATACTGTAACTGTATATAGTTGAACCTTTATAAATTAATAATTTTGAAACCATAATGCTTTTTTCAAATTTTATAAAATTAAGATTATTAAAATATAAAGACAAATTATATAATAATTTTGAAAATGTAATTAGAGAATTTATAAATTTAGAGAGATAGTTATAGATTATTAATTTATAGAGTACTGTATTAATTTATAGAGGTTTTATTGTAATGATTACATTTCCATCTAATTTTACCGGCACGGGTGATGATCAACAATATAGTCACATGTAACCAATAAATTACGTTTTTTAGTTCTCGTGATTCGGAAATTTCAATACTACACGTATGCTGTACAGAGAACAACCGCCGTCATTTTTGGTAATGAATCTTTGCGAGACAACAAATTCATCATAATGATACTTTCTGTTTAGAACTCTAGGAATTTCTGAAGTCACCTTTTTTATGTGGGAATCTTAATAGAATGTGTTATTAGGTTTCTAGAACATGTACCGTATGTAAATTCGGAATATTCATTCCGCGGTACATATAACTTTCTAAATTTAAACCAGATTCGTTATCAATAAATATTTAAATCATAAAGCATTGGTTATTTAATCTAGTTTTTTAATAATTTCCTCGAAATATTTCATAATATTTGGTTAAATAAAGAATGTATCGAAAATATGGTAAATGCTCTGGATGCAATAAAAAAAAGTCCCTTAAATATGAGAACGTAGACTTGTGTACCAATTGTTATTCTGCACAATTTCAGTCTGTTAATAGCGGGAACTCAGATATTGATAATTTAATTAAAGCAACACAGAAAAATAATATTCAATTTAGGTTAGAATGGATCTCATTTGAAGATTTTGTGGATATCCAGAAAGTTGCAGAGGGCGGATTTAGTATGATATTTACCGCTAAATGGAGAAAAGGAAGAGTGAAGGGTTATTCTAAAGGAAA